GTCTGAATGCCTTTTTTACCACTATTTCTTCACACAGTTCTCTACTACATCCTATTCCCTAGCCATAGGAACTGATTTCATCTCGTTAGCACAACTACGCAGCTCGTGGCGCATGTTTGTGCGTTTGCTGGTCTAAATCTGTGCAAGGATAGGCATGTGCGCAACATGTCAGCCCGCCAACGTCTGGATCTTTGTTAACCAATATTACTTCACATAGTTCCCTACTACATCATATTACCCAGCCATAGGAAGTGGTTTTACCTCGTTCGCACAACTATGCAGCACGTGGCACACGTTTGTGCGTTTGATGGGTGTTGGTGTGCAAGGATAGGCCTGTGCGCAACATGTCACTGTTTCAACGTCTGAGTGTTGTCTTTACCTCTATTTCTTCACATAGTTCCCTACTACATCCTATAACCTAGCCATAGGAACTGGTTTGACCTCGTTCGCACAACTACGCAGCACGTGACGCATGTTTGTGCATCCGCTGGCCCGAAACTGTGCAAGGATAGGCCTGTGCGCAACATGTCACTATTTCAATGTCAGGGTGTTGTTTTTACATCTTTTTCTTCACAAAATTCCCTAGTATATCCTATTTCCTAGCCATAGGAACTGGTTTGACCTCGTTCGCACAACTACGCAGCACAAGGGACTACAAAACGACCTAGACTAGCCATGTACTCTAAGGGGTACATTCTCTTATTGCAGCGAATCCTAATCGATCCGAACAGTTACGAACCTGTTCCCGCCACAATCCTGGCCACTGCAACTGCCCGATGCTTCTGTTCCGACGGTCCAGATGCTACGTAACCTGACGCGACTCTTCGCATCATTCCGTCTTTTCGCCTTCGTACTCCTTACTGCATGCTTCAATTGCTACTGATGGAGTGCACCGTCCTTTCACAATTCATTATTCGTAACAGATCTTGCATAGGATCACCTCAGGAAGGTTCGCGCAGAGTAAGTTGCAACGGAATTATTGATCTGATGCCAGAGTGAATATAAAATGAGTGAGATTATTATAACAAGCACATAGATAGGCTTATAGAATGGGAATGCACAGTTCTGTTTATTATTCCTAACAACCATTGTGTAACTGGACCACAATTCATTGAGATTAATATGGCAAATCATTGATTGACAAAAGGGATCAAGTGAGTTCAGTAAACAACACGGTATACAGATGGCAAATATTAACTTAACAAATTGTACAGCATTCAACAATTGATTCACGAGGCTGGTTCGAAGCTCGGCTTAGAAAGGCCCGGGAGGTTCGGATTGGCTAGCTGGAAAGCTACGTTCCGCAACTTCAAGCTCGAACCTTGGGCTGGTTGCGCGTCAGCTTTGAAACATGCCCTCAACATGCGCTCAACCTGCGCTGAACTTGCGGCAACGTACCGCGCACCTACGCTCGACTTACCCTGGACCTGCGCCATAGCAATGAGGTGCAAACGTAGGCTTTTCAGAACCTACTTCACACACCTCACCATTTTTGGGATGTATTGCTATCGTCGCGAAGTTCTCCGGTAATGCTATCGCAACCTCCCATTCCCCCGTGCAGATCGGAGTCTTTCAACCTTAGCGTGGAGGACAGGCGTCCCAGTTTAGCAAAAGCACTTGGTCGGCAGCTTTATCTGTCAGATATGTATTTGAATTGCTGGTGATGTGTTCATTCCCATTTAGGAGATGTATTGGCCTACGTCTCTTCTTCACCGGTCTATAAAGTCATCAGCATGGTAACGCCCTGTCTCGTGTGGTTGCACATCTATATCGTTTTTTTTTTTTTCGTATGTTTCAGGACTTCTGCAGACCCGTCCTTATTACCGTTGCGACCAACACCGTCAGGATCTTGTCAGAATGTTATTATTGTCTAGCCTGTAGTGGGGTGCTCTATAGCGAGTACAACCCAGTTAGGGTTTGCTATATGTACCCCAACTGCTGCTAGTGAAACCCTCTCTCCTTTCATTCATTCTTGCCTAGTTCTTCTAACATGGTATTCAGAGCAGGACGATCCAGATGGGTCGATCCTGTGGGTGGGCCCCACCACCTGCTTCCGCTGCTCCTACTACTCTTTGTGTCGCACGCCCCGTGGCGTGCGACGGATTTTTCATCCCGCCGCGCGCTCGGGGCGTGCGGCGGTTTTCTCCCCGCCGTGCGCACCGAGGCGCACGGCGGTTTCCTACCGTGGGGGACGCCCGCGGCCCCCCGATCCCGTCGCCCGCGGCCCTCCGGTCCCGTCGCCCGCGGCCCCGCGATCCCGTCGCCCGCGGCCCCCCCCCCCCCCCCCCCCCCCCCCCCCCCCCCCCCCCCTCGATTTCCCGTCGCGCCGCCCTGGGGAGCCGCGCGCGACCCCCCGCGGCCCCGATTTCCCGTCGTGCCGCCCTGGGGAGCCGCACGCGACCCCCCGCGGCCCCGTTTTCCCGTCGTGCCGCCCTGGGGAGCCGCACGCGACCCCCCGCGGCCCCGTTTTCCCGTCGTGCCGCGTTGGGGAGCCGCACGCGACCCCCCGCGGCCCCGTTTTCCCGTCGTGCCGCCCTGGGGAGCCGCGCGCGACCCCCCGCGGCCCCGATTTCCCGTCGCGCCGCCCTGGGGAGCCGCGCGCGGCCCCTCGCTGCCCCGTGGTGGCGTCCTGGGGGCCGAGCGCCGTCCCCCTCGCCGTCCCCCGCGCTCCTTCCCCCGTTCCGCCCGTTTTTAGGGTTTGGGGGTGAGGAGTGTGGGGGTGGCAGCTATGGGGGTGCCGTGTGTGTGCGCCGTCCCCTGCTCCTCCTCCTCCTCCGTCTCCCACTGCTGCAGCTGCCGCTGAGGGGGGTGGATGTGTGGGAGCCGAGGTTTAGGGTTTAAGGGGGGTGTCGTGGAAGTGGAGCTAGGGTGTCAGCAGGGGGTGTGTGAGAGGGGCGTGGGACGGTCGGGGGAGGTTGCGTGGAGGTAGCCGTCGTGACGCCAGCAGCGCCAGTAGTCCGGATGCCCTCGCGCGTTTCGGTAGCCCAGCGAGCCTGCTTCGCCAGTCGCCTGTGGGTCCGTTGCTCCTGTGTGTGCTCGTCGTAGCCGCGGAGCCAGATACTCCCGTAGTCCGGTGCCCTCGTGCGCTCGGTAGCCACTGTGCGCGCCGCTCCTGTTGCCCGTGTGTCTGCAGCTTCAGTCGGCGCCTTTCATCTTCTCGCCCTCACAGTTTCTCCTCCTCCTCACTTGCCCTCTATGATCACCTCTAGCTTTGCTTATAATTGTGAACTATTGCTATGCCTGCTCATTGTACTGATTACACCCCACTTTGGCTATGGGGGTGTGTCAGAATGTTATTATTGTCTAGCCTGTAGTGGGGTGCTCTATAGCGAGTACAACCCAGTTAGGGTTTGCTATATGTACCCCAACTGCTGCTAGTGAAACCCTCTCTCCTTTCATTCATTTTTGCCTAGTTCTTCTAACACATCTCACCCGTCCTTTTTGCAGGCTTACTGTCAACCAGAACAGCGATTTGTTTATTTCTTTTTTTTATGGTTAAAGCATAGTCCGGGAAAACTAACCCTAATGGTGAGTGACTTGTTTTGTAAATTTTATATTTCCTCTAATCCTTTCACGTTACATCCGTTTTCTAACTTGCAGAGTTTGCAGCATTTTATCAGTGAAATGTGCGTAGTGACTGTATTGTCGCTGTGTAGAACGCAGGCCCAGAAGCTCAGCAGTGCAGTGTAGAGTGGTCCGGGGTGTAGAAACAAAGTGTACAGTTTGTGCATGCATTGTAACTTGTAATACAGTAATTAAGAGACTCGTTACCGTACACCTATTGATACCGACGGGAATTGTCGCATGGCTTTTTACCGGCAATCGTACCCAAATCGGAAATTGTTTCTGCACACCCGAAATCAGGCTCTGATTGGTCCAAATGGCTAATTTGTGTGCGTCGATCTGATTCGAATCCGACGGTTGACGTTAAAGTACAAGAACAGCCACGTCAGCAGGTACGGTTTCATCTCGCGTACATCTCGTGCCACGTGGCGTATTCATGACACTGTAGCACGATTTGCTCAAATGTGACGGAAAAGTCGGGAAAATATGCCACAAGTAACAATCATGTGACCCCGTAACGTCAATGGTAAAAAAAAAATGCGTACGGTAACTGTATCGGGTATCGTGACGGGCTTGGTAAGTGGGGTCACGGAATCAGTCACTAGCAACAGCTAAAGAATCACGCGAATGGTAACACATGAAACTCCCGCCTGAAATTCCTGAAACCAGGCCGATTTCCCGCTCGCGCCAAACCGTGCGGAGAGAGGTTTGATGCACGCCTGTACCGTCGAGCCTCCAGCCCACCGTAACCAAACCACGACCCTACATGCTGTACACCCCCCTGCCCGCTACGGTTCCAACCAAGCACAGAAGCTTGACCCCAGCGGAACTCACTCACTTCCCGCCATCAGCTATTACTCACGCGATTACTAGTAGCTATAGCTTTCGCCAGCTGCCTTCCCCGTCACTCATCCTGGGCATTCGTTAGCAGCACCTGACGTCTATCAACGGTGCGTGCCTTAGCCCAAAAGCCTTTTCCCATCCGTTCACGTTTAGTCCCTTGTTACTCGATAAATACTAATAATATACATTACAAAAAAAAAAACACAAACAAAACTCGATCAGACCGCTGTCGCGATGCGCCCAGCGGCTGGCGCGCCGCTCCGCGCATCGCGCCTATCGGGCCCGGTCGTCGCGCGATGCAGTGCGGCCACCTCGCCGCTCGACGCATCGAGACGATCAAAAGCAGCCGCCGCCGCGATGCGCATTGCGGCCAGCGTTTGGCCGCTCCGCGCATCGCGCCGACCGGGCCGCCGCCGTCGCAATGCGCAATGCGGCCAGCTTTTGGCCGCTCCGCGCATCGCGCCGACCAGGACGCCGCCGTCGCGATGTGCAATGCGGCCACACTGCTGGGCGCATCATGACGATCCGCCAAGCCAAAAGCCCGCCACTCAGTGCGTCGCGCCTCTCTGTCCACCGCCGAGACCAGTGTGCCCATGCACTCTCGTCTAGCCTCCCCTCTCGTGCTCCCTTGTCTCCTACCCATCTTTCTCTCGTGCTCCCTCGCATGCCGTGTTATCCCCGGCCAAAGCCTCGATTATGGCAATTCCCTCTCTCGTGCCAGGCCACTCATTCCCTCTCCATCCCTCTCGCACACCCCCTCTCATACACACTCATCCCCTCTCCATCCCTCTCGCACACCCCCTCTCATACACACTCATCCCCTCTCCATCCCTCTCGCACACCCCCTCTCATACACACTCATCCCCTCTCCATCCCTCTCGCACACCCCCTCTCATACACACTCATCCCCTCTCCATCCCTCTCGCACACCCCCTCTCATACACACTCATCCCCTCTCCATCCCTCTCGCACACCCCCTCTCATACACACTCATCCCCTCTCCATCCCTCTCGCACACCCCCTCTCATACACACTCATCCCCTCTCCATCCCTCTCGCACACCCCCTCTCATACACACTCATCCCCTCTCCATCCCTCTCGCACACCCCCTCTCATACACACTCATCCCCTCTCCATCCCTCTCGCACACCCCCTCTCATACACACTCATCCCCTCTCCATCCCTCTCGCACACCCCCTCTCATACACACTCATCCCCTCTCCATCCCTCTCGCACACCCCCTCTCATACACACTCATCCCCTCTCCATCCCTCTCGCACACCCCCTCTCATACACATTCATCCCCTCTCCATCCCTCTCGCACACCCCCTCTCATACACACTCATCCCCTCTCCATCCCTCTCGCACACCCCCTCTCATACACACTCATCCCCTCTCCATCCCTCTCGCACACCCCCTCTCATACACACTCATCCCCTCTCCATCCCTCTCGCACACCCCCTCTCATACACACTCATCCCCTCTCCATCCCTCTCGCACACCCCCTCTCATACACACTCATCCCCTCTCCATCCCTCTCGCACACCCCCTCTCATACACACTCATCCCCTCTCCATCCCTCTCGCACACCCCCTCTCATACACACTCATCCCCTCTCCATCCCTCTCGCACACCCCCTCTCATACACACTCATCCCCTCTCCATCCCTCTCGCACACCCCCTCTCATACACACTCATTTCCTCTCACACCCTCTCATCACTTCTCGTTCCCTCTCATCCCCTCATCCCCTCTCATCCCCTTTCATATCCACTCTCACTCCCTCTCACACACTCTCATACAGTCTCATCCCCTCTCATCCTATCTCACACACTCTCATCCCTTCTCATTTCCTCTCATACCCTCTCATCCACTCTCATATACTCACTTACACACTCTCATCCCTCTCATTCCCTCTCATACACTCTCAGCCCCTCTCATCCTCTCTCATACACTCTTATACACTTTTATTCACTGTCATCCCCTCCCATCCACTATCGTATACACTCGCATCCCCTCTCATACACACTCATACCCCCTAATCCCCTCTCATCCCCTCTTATTTGCTCTCATACACTCACTTACACACTCTCATCCCTCTCAGTCCCTCTCATACACTCTCAGCCCCTCTCATCCTCTCATACACTCTTATACACTTTTATTCACTGCCATCCAGTCTCATCCCTTCGCAACCCCTCTCATCCACTCTCATCCCCTCTCAACCCCTCTCATTCACTCTCATACACTCTCATCCCCTCGCATACACTCTCATAGACTCTCAACCACTCTCATTCACTCTCCTTTCACTCTCATTCACTCTCATCCCCTCACAACCACCCTCATACACTCAATGACACTCTCATACCCTCTCATACCCTCCCATACACTATCATGTCCACTCTCACTCCCTCTCACACACTCTCATATAGTCTTATCCCCTCTCATCCTATCTCACACACTCTCATTCCCTCTCATTTCCTCTCATACCCTCTCATCCCTTCTCGTTCCCTCTCATCCCCTCTCATCCCCTCTCATCCCCTCTCATACACTCTCATACACTTACTTACACACTCTCATCCCTCTCATTCCCTCTCATACACTCTTAGCCCCTCTCATCCTCTCTCATACACTCGTATACACTTTTATTCATGGTCACCCCCTCCCATCCACTATCGTATACACTCTCATCCCCTCTCATACTCACTCATACCCCCTAATCCCCTCTCATCCACCCTCATACACTTCCATACACTCTCATACACACACATTCCCTCTCATTCCCTCTTCTCCCTCATATGCTCTCATCCACTCTTATTTACACTCATCCACTCTCACACACTCTCATACACTCTCATCCCCTCTCATGCACTCTCATACACTCTTGTACACTCTCATCCCCTCTCATACGCTCTCATACACTGTTCCCCATCTCCTCCCATCATCAACCCGTCCCCTTTGCAGCCCTCTATTTCACACAAAAATTTAGTTAGATGTGACATTCTCTCTTGTCTCCTCATCATGCCCCTAACTCTTGTTTGGCGCTTAAATTTCCCCCTTACAATTTCTCTCACGCACAATACTACACTTTATACACCCTGCATGGTCTTATTGTCCAACAGAGCTTGTGGCGGTCGTGAGGAACAACATGTTTCGCCTCATACGTTCAAGGTGGGAGGTTGATGTAGAATACCGATGTTAACCATCAAACAAGCTGAAGTGCATTGTTAATATCAACCATCATTCATTTCCAATCAAGAATTTTTCACGTTAACTTGCAAACTTCCATGTGGTACCCCCCCAACTGTTATCTTTTGGTCTTTTAGCAATTTTGATGTGCAGGAAGATGATGCTGTCAACATTTACAAGGGGAAGCTCTACCCAACTGCTGTAGCAGCAAGGGAGGAGGTGCGGTTGTACTGTAGGCAGCAGACGTTTGCTCCCTATTTCCGCTATAATCGGTCGAATCTCATTGAGGTGTGGTGCAAGTCCATGGAGGGCAAGGTATGGCCTCGTGGGGAGGTGCACAGCGGAGAAGGGATGTGTCCATTTCGTGTTGTCATACGGGGACCGCGCTATAGTAACCTGCGGGTCACGGTGGCTAGTTTGGATCACGCCGATATGTGTGTCACCGAGGCTGCAAGGATTCGGAGGGATGAGGTCAAAGAGGTTGCGCGTGAGATGCTAAAGCATGGCGACGTGAGACCTCATGCGTTGATCAGTCGTGTTAGGGCGGTTTTACGTGTGGAGTGCTCGTACACGGTTGCGCGCGAGGTGCTTTTTGAGCTAAGGAATGCGGATCCGTTTTGTGGAGACGATGGGTTTCAATACATGGAGGACCTGTTAGATAAGTTCAAGGATGATAATCCTTCATCTGTCGTGTCCATGGTCAGACGGGGAAATAACTTCTACCGTGCGGGAATTATTTTTCCAGGGGCGAGAGATGCGGTCATGAACTGCCTGCCGATCATTTTTGCGGATGGATGTCATAATAAGACCGCATGGGGGGGATACACTTTGAACATATGCATGTTGGATAGCCAACACAAACTTGTTATGTTGGGATGCGCATGGGTGGAGGGTGAAAACAAGCATGCATGTGCCTTCTTATTCAATCTCCTGTTGGAAGCCGTTCCGGAGGTGAACTCCTCTAACTATGTTATGATGCATGATAGGGGAGGGGCATGGATATCCGCCACATCCACTTGTCTCCCCCTCATACGGGAGTCCTTTTGCATCACCCATTTGGTTCGAAACTTCAAAAATAAGTTCAGGACAGATCTGGACGGACGAATTCTTGCAGCAGCAGCAGCCTTGACACCGCATGTGTATCTCAAGACAATGGAAAAGATTGAGATGGAATGTCCCGGTGGATCCTCCTACCTTGTCGACAATGGATTGGGTGTTAAGTGGGCGACAACTTATTTTGGAGCACCGCGTTACGGATGCTTGTCTTCTAACCCCGTTGAGTCTCATCATGCGTCGCTTTCGGGATTGCGGGATAAGAATCCGCCGCAGGTGCTGCTGGGCTTGGCGGAAAAGCTATCGACGAAGATCGAAAAGAGGCGCCGACTCTATTCCGAGATGACAGCCGCTGACTTCCCTCCTAGGACAAAGCCAATAGTCATTGGGAATCGCGATGAGAGCAGAAGATACAGGGTGGCTGAATCGGGAGAGAACGAGTACATAGTACGCGAAGGGGAGGAGAGGCGAGTCGTGACCATAAACCCCGAGGATCCTGCAGCCACCCACTGCTCATGTGGCTACACCAAGTAAGTGGTGGTTAGGTTCTGTTTCTACCATTGCTAGCATATGTTTCACTGGAATATATACTTGATCCAACTCAACCATGAATATTGCGCCAATTAGGTTTTTAAATATCATGCAAGATCAATCCTCATCATGCACCCACTCTAAATTTCAGCCCCTATTTATCCCAAAAATAGAGGAATTTGGGGACAATAAAGACTGCGTAACTTCCTGCTCATTTATCCCAACATTAGGGATATTCGGAGCGGCCAAAGGGCCATGCAATCCTTGTTCCTGCTGCAATTATTTTGTTTCCTACAACCTTATGCCAATTTATCCCAGCCTTGTACCCTCTCTCACTTTTGTGCCCATGTGTCCAAGCAATAGGGGCATTCCCCGTGCGATATGGGGAACATGGCGATAGGCGATATCCTGTTTAAACATAAATTTCTAGTTGCCTACGACTCAAAGAACCTTCCCTATCCCTCTGACCATCTACCTTGCCCATGCAGGGTAATTAGGTCGACAAAGTGTCGTGTGTACATTTGCTTGCCGTAATCGTATTTGCTGAATGTGGGCTTCTTTATGCCATGTGTTCATCCCGCACCTCTCCTCGCCCACCGATATACCCAGCACTCTTGGTGGATCCGTCATCGTCATGGTAATTTACCGTCTCCCTTGTTATCACTCCGACTGCTTTCCTCCTAGCTCTCCTAGCACCAGACGTACATCGGACGTCATGCCTCAAACTAGCTAGCGAGACCTTCATGGTACCGCTATTGGACCCTTGTATGACAATGCGAAAGGGACATAGCGCATCTTTGCTGCCTACCTCTCCACCTTGCCAACTCAAATTCTGCATCGAGTCGCGTCGTACATCGATAAGGTTTTTGCGACTATAATAGTAGAACTCCCGAATAAGATTTTGCCGACAATACAACCGAACATCCTCCCTTGCTTCTGCGGCAGATGGATAATCCTTCCCCTTGAATATGTTGCAAACGTGTTAGTCCTGCGGATTGACATAACTGGTACACCAAACAAAATAGAGTTCAAGCAACAACACATTGCAAATTGTTTGTGAGATGTGGCATAACAATGGAGCGTATGTAGCCTCGCAATGTAAACCACGAGATAGGATCTGCAAATGACAACCCTAAATCTATAGGCCAGACCTCACCTGGCTTGCAGTGGGTGAGACATGACGCTGATTACAAGTGCCACGAGCTTTGATGGATAATGAGCACGGGAGGATAACAGGGAATGCGAGGGGTTGATAGGAACGGGGAATCAAGACCAGAGAGATGATGAGTGGATGAGAGTGAATGGGCGTGGATCAAAAGGAATGAGAGTGTATGAGGGTGCACGAGAGGGACTGAGAGTGTGTGAGAGGGTATGAGGGGATGAGGTTGAATGAGAATGTATGAGGATGAGCGTGGATGAGAGTGGTTGAGAGGGGACGAGAGTGTGTGAGAAGGGATGAGAGTGTATCAGAGTGTCTTGGAGTGTGTGAGAGGAAATAAGAGGGGATGAGAGGGGATGAAAGTGAATGAGAGTGTATGAGAGTGTATAAGAGGGGATGAGAGGGGATGATAGGGGATGTGTGTGTATGAGAGTGTAAGAGAGGGGATGAGAGTGTTTGAGAGTTTATGAGGAGGGATGAGACTGGATGAATGTGTATGGGAGAGTATGAGAGGGGATGAGAGAATATATGATAGTGGATGGGAGGGTATGAGAGTGAATGAGAGAGTATGAGAGTGCATACGAGGGGATGAGAGGGGATGAGAGGGGATGAGAGTGTACGAGAGTGTATGAGGAGGGATGAGACTGGATGAGTGGGTTTGGGAGAGTATGAGAGGGGATGAGAGTGTATATGATAGTGGATGGAAGGGTATGAGAGTGTATGATAGTGTATAAGAGGGGATGAGAGGGGATGAGAGGGGATGAGAGTGAATGAGTAAGAGAGTGTATGTGGAGGGATGAGAGTGTATATGATAGGTTATGAGGGGGGATGAGAGGGGATGAAAGGCGATCAAAGTGAATGAGAGGGGATGAGAGTGGACAAGAGTGTATATGATAGTGGATGGGAGGGTATGAGAGTGAATGAGAGTGAATGAGAGTGGATAAGAGGGTATGAGAGGGGATGAGAGGGGATGAGAGGGAATAATAGTGTGTGAGATTGGATGAGAGGCGTTGAGAGTGTATGAGAGTGGATGAGAGGGAAAGAGTGGGGCTGAAAGAGGATGAAAGTGAATGAGAGGGAATGAGAGGGAATGAGAGATGATGAGAGGGAATGAGAGCGGATGTGAGGGAATGAGAGAGAATGAAAAGGAATGAGAGGGAATGAATAGGAATGAGAGGGATTGAGAAGGAATGAGAGTGATGAGAGGACATAAGAGGGGATGAGAGGGGATGTGAGGGGATAAGAGGGGATAAGTGTGAATGAGAGTGTATGGAAGTGTATGAGAGTGGATGAGAGCGGATTAGGAGGTATGAGTGTGTATGAGAGGAGATGAGAGTGTATGAGAGTGGATGAAGAGGGATGAGAGTGTGTAAGAGAGTGTATGAGAGTGTGTGAGAGTATATGAGAGGGGATGAGAGGGGATGAGAGGGGATGAGAGGGGATGAGAGGGGATTCGAGGGGATGAGTGTGAATGAGAGTGCATGAGAGTGTATGAGTGTGTATGGGAGTCTATAAGAGGGGATGAGAGTGTATATGAGTGTATATGAGTGAGTACGAGAGGGTATGAGAGTGGATTAGAGGGAGTGACATGGGATGAGAGGGGATGAGAGGGGATGAGAGCGTATGAGAGTGAATGCGAGTGTATGAGAGTGTATAAGAGTGTATGTGAGGGGATGAGAGGGGATGAGAGGGGATGAGAGGGGATGAGAGGGGATGAAAGAGAGGGAATGAGTGTGTATGAGAGGGGGTGTGCGAGAGGGATGGAGAGGGGATGAGTGTGTATGAGAGGGGGTGTGCGAGAGGGATGGAGAGGGGATGAGAGTGTATGAGAGGGGGTGTGCGAGAGGGATGGAGAGGGGATGAGTGTGTATGAGAGGGGATGTGCGAGAGGGATGGAAAGGGGATGAGTGTGTATGAGAGGGGGTGTGCGAGAGGGATGGAGAGGGGATGAGTGTGTATGAGAGGGGGTGTGCGAGAGGGATGGAGAGGGGATGAGAGTGTATGAGAGGGGGTGTGCGAGAGGGATGGAGAGGGGATGAGTGTGTATGAGAGGGGGTGTGCGAGAGGGATGGAGAGGGGATGAGTGTGTATGAGAGGGGGTGTGCGAGAGGGATGGAGAGGGGATGAGTGTGTATGAGAGGGGGTGTGCGAGAGGGATGGAGAGGGGATGAGTGTGTATGAGAGGGGGTGTGCGAGAGGGATGGAGAGGGGATGAGTGTGTATGAGAGGGGATGTGCGAGAGGGATGGAGAGGGGATGAGTGTGTATGAGAGGGGGTGTGCGAGAGGGATGGAGAGGGGATGAGTGTGTATGAGAGGGGGTGTGCGAGAGGGATGGAGAGGGGATGAGTGTGTATGAGAGGGGGTGTGCGAGAGGGATGGAGAGGGGATGAGTGTGTATGAGAGGGGGTGTGCGAGAAGGATGGAGAGGGGATGAGTGTGTATGAGAGGGGGTGTGCGAGAGGGATGGAGAGGGGATGAGTGTGTATGAGAGGGGGTGTGCGAGAGGGATGGAGAGGGGATGAGTGTGTATGAGAGGGGGTGTGCGAGAGGGATGGAGAAGGGATGAGTGTGTATGAGAGGGGGTGTGCGAGAGGGATGGAGAGGGGATGAGTGTGTATGAGAGGGGGTGTGCGAGAGGGATGGAGAGGGGATGAGTGTGTATGAGAGGGGATGTGCGAGAGGGATGGAGAGGGGATGAGTGTGTATGAAAGGGGGTGTGCGAGAGGGATGGAGAGGGGATGAGTGTGTATGAGAGGGGGTGTGCGAGAGGGATGGAGAGGGGATGAGTGTGTATGAGAGGGGGTGTGCGAGAGGGATGGAGAGGGGATGAGTGTGTATGAGAGGGGGTGTGCGAGAGGGATGGAGAGGGAATGAGTGGCCTGGCACGAGAGAGGGAATTGCCATAATCGAGGCTTTGGCCGGGGATAACAGGGCATGCGAGGGAGCACGAGAGAAAGATGGGTAGGAGACAAGGGAGCACGAGAGGGGAGGCTAGACGAGAGTGCATGGGCACACTGGTCTCGGCGGTGGACAGAGAGGCGCGACGCACTGAGCGGCGGGCTTTTGGCTTGGCGGATCGTCATGATGCGCCCAGCAGTGTGGCCGCATTGCACATCGCGACGGCGGCGGCCTGGTCGGCGCGATGCGCGGAGCGGCCAAAAGCTGGCCGCATTGCGCGTTGCGACGGCGGCGGCCCGGTCGGCGCGATGCGCGGAGCGGCCAAACGCTGGCCGCAATGCGCATCGCGGCGGCGGCTGCTTTTGATCGTCTCGATGCGTCGAGCGGCGAGGTGGCCGCACTGCATCGCGCGACGACCGGGCCCGATAGGCGCGATGCGCGGAGCGGCGCGCCAGCCGCTGGGCGCATCGCGACAGCGGTCTGATCGAGTTTTTTTTTGTGTTTTTTTTTTTGTAATGTATATTATTAGTATTTATCGAGTAACAAGGGACTAAACGTGAACGGATGGGAAAAGGCTTTTGGGCTAAGGCACGCACCGCTGATAGACGTCAGGTGCTGCTAACGAATGCCCAGGATGAGTGACGGGGAAGGCAGCTGGCGAAAGCTATAGCTACTAGTAATCGCGTGAGTAATAGCTGATGGCGGGAAGTGAGTGAGTTCCGCTGGGGTCAAGCTTCTGTGCTTGGTTGGAACCGTAGCGGGCAGGGGGGTGTACAGCATGTAGGGTCGTGGTTTGGTTACGGTGGGCTGGAGGCTCGACGGTACAGGCGTGCATCAAACCTCTCTCCGCACGGTTTGGCGCGAGCGGGAAATCGGCCTGGTTTCAGGAATTTCAGGCGGGAGTTTCATGTGTTACCATTCGCGTGATTCTTTAGCTGTTGCTAGTGACTGATTCCGTGACCCCACTTACCAAGCCCGTCACGATACCCGATACAGTTACCGTACGCATTTTTTTTTACCATTGACGTTACGGGGTCACATGATTGTTACTTGTGGCATATTTTCCCCGGAAAAGTCACCCATGAGGTTGCTTTCTGTACACCAAGGCGATTGCGTAAAAGTGCAGTTTGTGGGCGGAAAGTGACGGAAAAGTTGAGTCGCAAGTCACTTGAGCTACCACTGTTTACGAGTTAGACTTTTTTCTTGCGAGACGAAAGTAACCCTAAAGTGACGGAAAAGCAAATTTTCAGTTGCTCTTCGCACTTCCCTTTTCCGCGATGCAGGTTTCAACCAACTTCACCACCTGACCTTCCGTGAAAAACGAGTTTCAATTTTCCGGGTCGGGCCGGGCTCGGGCCAGATTCTAGAAACGGCCGGCCCGACCCGGGCCAACTGACTCGGGTCAAAGGGGACCCGGGTTCGGGTTGGGCCGGGTCGGGCCAGGTAGACCCGCCCCTTTAGGGGGGGCTAGGTGTGAAATGGACAAGCGCGAAATGGAGTACTTGCAGCCAGAATCGTACATCTAGGCAAGTAACTTAAAGTACTAGCATTCGGGTGGGGAAGCCTAAGTTATGAGGTAGTCTTAGGCACTCTAGCTATTAGTCTAAGTCCACTAGCTGCTGGCGAGGGCGAAATGTAATCGACGGGGAAAAATCCCCTCGATTTACATTTGTGCTAGGGTTTCGGCCCTAACCAAGTCGAAATCGGGTCGCGCACCTGGCCCGACCCGATTTTGACATATATGGCCCGAAATCGGGTCGGGTCAAACCCGCCTCGACCCGGCCCGAAATGGGCTCTCGGGTAGGGTTTCTACCCGGGTCGGGTCGGGTCGGCCCGTACGGGGCAGGGTTTCGGAACCCTTGACCCGACCCGGGCAAAACCACGGGTCAGGTCAGGTCAGCCCAACCCGAGCGGGGCATCTGCTCAACTCTAGCTCAGGTGCTCTCATGCTCAGGTGCTCTCCTGCTCAGGTGCACTCCTGCTCAGGTGCTCTCCTGCTCAGGTGCTCTCCTGCTCAGGTGCTCTCCTGCTCAGGTGCTCTCATGCTCACTGGTGTGCCATGTCTGGTTGTGGAGTGACAACCTCGCCGCAATGACACGCATGATGCTTCTCTTCCTTCCACGACTAGGATTTGGAATCCTAGTCCCGAGTTGACCTACTTCTCCACCAATCCTAATCTCTCGTACTAGTCCCTCGTCAGAGTACCCTTGTTCACTGCCCTTCCAAAGTCTATAAAGGATAATCACCACAATCTTCCTTTCTCCGTTCTCTTTTTCCACCGCCCTTTTGCTCCTTCCTTCGTTCCCGTCCCTGCTCCCTTCCCCCGTTCCCTTCTTTCCCGCAGCCTGTGCGCACAGGCCTGCCATTTCCCAGCTACAAAAAGCACATCCGCTGCTGCCATTGGCCTCCCTCGTTCAGCCTTGCCTCCCTTCCCTCGGCATCCCATGCTCCGCATTCCCTTCCCGCATTCAGCGTTGCCATTCTCCTCCCGTTATTTCCCTCACTTTCTCACAGCCTGTATTCCCAGGGCGGATGCCGCCCGCACGCCAGCTACGAGTGCCGCCCCAGACCGTAAGTCCGCACCCAATTAGGGGCTGACTCAAACCCTTGCACTGCTCATGCTCTTTGTCCTTACCCTCTACCCTCAAAGGGTATGACGCTCACCACTTTAAGCAGCACTCCTTCCATCCTATCCGTCCAGCCAGTTCCCTCTCCCCCTCCCCTCCTCCACCCACTCCCACACTTTTTTTTGTTGTTGTCCACCCTGAGAAGTTTCTCGTCTTGCCTAGGAAGCTCTTGGGGTGCTTTGGACCACTGTCCACTCCACCTCTCCATGCCCCCATACCATGATATCACCTCGCTGTTCCTCTTTTCCTCTCCTTTTCTCTCAACGTCCCTTTTCCTTTCCTGCTTGTTTTTCTCCCCCACTCTGTTCCTCTCCTCTCATTTTCTTTTCTTTCGCCTTTTCTCGTCATCTCTGGTCCTTATGAAACCTGGCAGACTCATGTGTGATAAGAAATTGTGGCGCCAATGCGGTGTGCGTGAAGGAGAAGGGCAACGCCACCTGCATCTGCAACCTTGGATTCGCCATGACCCCTAAAGGCTGTGTCGGTGAGTGCTGCTGTGCTGCTTGTTGACTTGAGTGCTGCTGTCGGGTTGACTGCTGCTGTGTCAGGAGCCTGTCAGGTGTCAGGCTAGACTCCATCCTGTAGAGGCTTGCCATGTGGGTGGGCTAGTCATTTTCCTTCTCCTGTTATTTTCAGTCCAAATTTCCTCACTTGCTCATCCCCCTTCCCTGCCTTCTCCAGACACATGTATGCTCAAGAAGTGTGGAGGCAACGGCACATGCACCAAGGACAGTGCTGGAGTGGCCTCTTGTGTTTGTGACACTGGCTTTGTTCTTCAAACTGACAACAGGACATGCACTGGTACGTGCTGTGCGCGTGTGTTTCCCTTTTTTAAAATGCTGCTGCTCTGTTACTTCTACGGTCCACCTCTGCCCCTTCACACACAAATGCCCGATAACTCACTGTTTCTATTCCTGCACTTGTTGCCCTTCCCATTGAATATTCCTTGTGACTCCTTGCATTGGCAGACACATGTGTGCTCAAGAGGTGTGGTGGCAACGGCACGTGCACCAAGGAAAGCGATGGAGTGGCTTCCTGTGTTTGTAACGTGGGCTTTGTTCTTCAAGCTAACAACAGGACATGCACCGGTATGTGCTGCTCTGTCCTTCTCTTCTTACACAATCTGCTGCCACCCGAAATACTCTCGAACTTCTACGGTCCACCTGTCCCCTTTCCCACACACATGCCCGATAACTCATTGTTTCTCTTCCTGCACATGTTACCCTTCCTTCCTATTGACTGTTCCTTGTGGCTCTTTGCATTCGCAGACACGTGTGTGCTCAAGAGGTGTGGTGGCAACGGCACGTGCACCAAGGACAGTGTTGGAGTGGCCTCCTGTGTTTGTGACGTGGGCTTTGTTCTTCGAAGTGACGGCAGGATATGCACTGATACGTGCTGCTGCGTGTGTGCTCCTTTCCTCGTAAATGCTGCTTTTACCTGTGATAATCACTCTGTTCCTTCTACGGTCCACTTCTCTCCCTTCACATACGCATGCCTCATAACTCCCTTATTCTCTTCCAACACATGTTGCTGTTCCCGTTGACTTTTCTTGGTTGCTCTTTGCTCTGGCAGACACATGTGTGCTCAAGGCGTGCGGTGGCAACGGCACGTGCACCAAGGACAGTGCTGGAGTGGCCTCTTGTGTTTGTGACGTGGGCTTTGTTCTTCAGACTAACGGCAGGACATGCACCGGTAAGTGCTGCTGTAGGTGTGCTTCTCTTCTAATTCAAACTTCCGCTACCTGTCATACTCACGCTGTTCCTTCTATGGTCCACCACCCCCCTTCATATACACATGCCCTTCCGTTTGCCCTTCCCCATGAATTTCCTTGTGGCTATTCGCCTTGGCAGACACATGTGTGCTCAAGAAGTGTGGTGGAAACGCCACGTGCATCAAGAGCAGTACAGGAGTGGCGTCCTGCGTGTGTAACACTGGCTTCATGCTGCAGCCTGGTGGCACCACATGCACCGGTATGTGCCATGACATGCGCTGTGGCGTGTGTGCGGCATGTGCTATGCCATGTCTGTGCCATGTGCCACACCGTGCCTAGTGCTTTGCCATGTGCATGGCTTATGCTATTAGGGTAAATGCTCTTAAAAAGTGGAATCTCTATTGCCCTGCTTCCTCTGCCCTAGACACATGTGCACTTAAGGCGTGTGGCGGCAACGGCACGTGCACCAAGGACAGTGCTGGAGTGGCCTCCTGTGTTTGTGACACTGGCTTTGATCTTCAAAGTGACGGCAGGACATGCACTGGTATGTGCTGCTGTGGGTGTGCTTCGCTTGTGTATATGCTGCTGCTACCCGTCATTCTCACTCTGTTCATTCTAAGGTCCTCCTCTCCCCCTTCACACACACCTGCCCGATAACTCACAGTTTCTCTTCCTGCACATGTTGCCCTTCTTATTGACTTTTCCTTGTGGCTCTTCGCCTAGGCAGACACATGTGTGCTCAAGCGGTGTGGTGGCAACGCCACGTGCGTGAAGAGCACTGCCGGGGTGGCGTCCTGTGTGTGTGACTCTGGCTTCGAGATACAGCCTGATGGCACCACATGCACTGGTATGTGCTGTGCCATGTGCGACGCCATGAGCTATGCCACGCGGCATGTGCTATGCTATGTGCGATGCCATGTGCGATCCCATGTGCGATGCCATGTGCGATCCCATGTGCTATGCCATGTGCGATCCCATGTGCTATGCCATGTGCTAAGCCATTTGCTATTCCATGTGCTATGCCATGTGCCATGCCATGTGCTATGCCATGTCCTATGCCATGTCCTATGCCATGTCCTATGCATGTCCTATGCCATGTCATGTCCTATGCCATGTCCCATGCTATGTGCTACATCGTGAAAATTCATTTGGTCTGCCCCGCCTTTCCAGAATCATGTGCGCTGAAGGCGTGTGGCGGCAACGGCAGGTGCACCAAGGACAGTGCTGGAGTGGCCTCCTGTGTTTGTGACGTGGGCTTTGCTCTTCAAACTGACGGCAGGACATGCACTGGTACGTGTTGCCACCCGTCATACTCACTCTGCTCCTTCGACCGATCCATGTGCAATAACTCCCTGCTTCTCTATATACGCATTTTCCCTTTTCATTTACTGTTACTGTGTGTGCTCCGCCTCCGCCTTGGCAGACACATGTGTGCTCAAAAACTGTGCCGGTGACACCAAGTGCGTGAAGAGCGCTGCAGGAGTGGCGTCCTGTGTGTGTGACACTGACTTCGTGCTGCAGCCTGATGGCGTCACATGCACCGGTATGTGCGTTGCCATGTGCTGTACCATATTTCATGCCATGAATTGTGCTACGTTATGCCATATGATATGCCAGGGACATGTGGATTGGTCAAGTCGGGTTTTACCTGACTCGTTTAGACGAGCTTCAAATGGCTGTCGAGTTTTTTAGCAGAAATAACAATCGAAGCCCGGCACTCAATTCGTGTTTTTTTTTTTCCACTCAAGTGCGAGGGGAAAGAAACTCGACCGAGTTGAGTTAAAGTCGAGAGTGAGAATTTCGAGTCGAGTTTTGGCTCGAATGAAATGATCGTTTCTAATATGCCATGTGGTATGCAATATGGCATGTTCTATGCCATATACTACAATGGGTATGTGTTGCTGTGTGCTGCTGTGTGGTCACTTATGCTTGTTGTATGTATGTGGTGCTATGTGTGGAAACCTGTTCATGCTGTACTGACTACCTGTTCTGCAGAGATCCCCACTCCCTCTTTCCCAGCCACATGCAAATCAAAGGCCTGTGGTGGGAACAACACTTGCGCCATGAACAGCACTGCTTGGCAGTGGGCTGTGTTTTCCATTCGATAAGATCAATTGGAGTGAGCAGCGGTAACCTCATCGTGATGTAGCATATCCCGCCTGCCTCAAGTCATGTGCCTGCTCGACTCATTCGTTCATTCCTCTCCCTCCATCTACTTGGTTCCTCTACCTCCATCCCACCTTCATGCAGACACCTGTGCCGTCAAGAGCTGCAACCTAACGGTCTCCGTTTGCATGAAGGACGCTGCAGGCATGGCCTCCTGTGTTTACAAGACAGGCTATCAGAATGTATCGGGTAAGTTGTACCAAAAACCGAATAAGCATATCGCAGCTAGACCCAGAATGTCGTGAGCCCACTCCATATCTGTTCATGAGCTCGTTCGCGCGTACTGAAGCACGCAGCGACGTCTGTCCCATACTGCATCACCTCGCATGAGACGTCTCAAAAGATCACTTTTATCACTTTGCTTTCACTGTTGCATTCGACGACGCCCATCCCACACTGCATTCACATCTGCTGACCTGACCCTGTATGCTCCCCTCTTCCCCACCTCCACAGCACCTGCCCCGTGTGGGGTCTGCCCTGCAGGTGCCAGCTGCACTGTGCGCCGAGCAGCTAAGCCGCCTGCTGCCTGGATGTGTGCATGCACCATCTACTGTCTCACTCTGTATGCTCCTCTCCTCTCTCCCTAACCACCACAGGTCCTTCCACGTGTGGGGTCTGCCCAGCAGGCGCCAGCTGCATTCCAGTTTCGTACAGCAATGCCGCCTACTGCCTCTTTTCTCCCGGTTCTGGCATGACCGCCGTTGGTTGCGTCCTAGGTACGCCATTGTTTTGAGATAGTTCCTAGGAAATGAGAGAAATGTTACGAGATCAGGTTTAAGCATTTCCGCCTTGACATTGTCTTAGCCTCGTTTTCGCTTCATTACGCTTCCAAGCATTGGCATAACGCCCAAGGAACCTTGACGCTCAATGCACCTTTCTTCCCTTCCCCTTTCAGATGCCACCCTCACTGTCTCCTCCACCAGCTTCACCTACTACACGCTCCCAAGCTTCCTCATAACCCTGTGTCATCAACCCTCATAACAATTTACCACCCTGTGTCATCAACCCTCATAACAATTCACCACCCTGTGTCATCAACCCTCATCACAATTCACCACCCTGTGTCATCAACCCTCATCACAATTCACCACCCTGTGTTGCCACCCCCTTCCAGACGCCACCCCCACTGTCTCCACAACAAGCTTCACCTTCTACACGCTCCCAAGCTATGGCGTAACGCCTGCCACCTACACCACCCGCCTCACCTACAACGGCTGCACCAACCTCACAGCCTCCAGTGCACGGGACATCCAGTCGTATGGAAGCGTGCAGGACGCCCCTGGAGGAGTGGGGAGCTGCCTTGAGATCCGCGCTTACTACCAGGCGGGATGCATCGGAAAATATAATCTGTTTCCTGTCGCGAAAGGAAGTCTGAGCACTTCGAGTGTTCCGTGAGCCACTGAACCAACCTGCCTGCCACCTACTGCACTGCGTTTGTGTGTGTGTGTGTGTGTGTGTGTGTGTGTGTGTGTGTGTGTGTGTGCGTGTGTGTGTGTGTGTGTGTGTGTGTGTGCGTGTGTGTGTGTGTGTGTGTGTGTGTGTGCGTGTGTGTGTGTGTGTGTGTGTGTGTGTGTGTTTTTGGCACTCATTTCCGCATGCGGACATATACCGATTTACACCTACTTGTCCGTTTGCTTGCGTTTTCATGCAACAGGAATTATTACGGGTATCCCTTCCGCTCCTTCGGCTGCTCTATCTTTGGTGAGCGCTGCTGTGTTGGCTGGTGGGGGCCGTTGTTTTGGTGGGGGGCATTGTGTTGGTGGTGGGGGCCGTTGTTTTGGTGGGGGGCATTGTGTTGGTGGTGGCCATTGTGCTGGTGGGGGCCATGGTGTTCCTTTCTTTGCCCCTGTATTAGCTGTTCCCTAGTTAACAACTTGTAGTCAATCATCGGCATTTCTTTGCTGAGAAAGCACTTTGAGATCACATGTCATTCTGCATCTGACACCTTGAGTCAACAAGACACAGTTACGTGTTTTCTCCGAAGAGATATTCTTCTGCACACTTCGCCTGAGGTGCAAAAGGCCCACACGTGCCCTGCAACCTTCCAACCCACAAACTATGCCATGCGCACAAGCTGCTTGCATGTCCATCCATACCAGAGTTCCCTTCATGCTGTCCCCTCTCACAGAGAAATGCGCTCTCAACAGCTGCGGGGCAAACGGCAAGTGCGTGCAGGACAGTGCAGGAGTGGCCTTCTGTGCTTGTGACGCTGGCTTTGTTCTGCAGCCCGACGGCAGGACGTGCGCTGGTATGTGCTGTGCTGCTATTGTGACAATCCGTGTAAGAATAGAGCTCAGCCGTCATTTGGATTACAAATCAGGGAAGTTTAAGTCGCTGTGGAAAGAAGGGGAGATTGGCTGATTGGGATCTTGGCCCAGATATCATGGTCCTAATGAACAACGAGGGAGTGTTAACGCCCAGCATAAAGCTTCCGTGTTTTTTACATGTACACATGCCAATAATCTCCTGCCACGGTCTGACTAACAGCCAGATGAGTAGGCCAAGGGTGGAACCAACCCCCAAAGGGTGAATTGTAGTTGTGCACCTAAGCCAGGCTAGGTTGACTATCTCTACTATCTCTACTGTTCCAAATGTTGTGCTCTTCTGTGCTCTGCTGTGTGCTTTTGTGTGCTGTTCTGTGCGCCATTGTGTTGCTGTATGTTTCTCCATGCCGTGCTCTCTCTCCCCTTTCACGTGCCTTACTCTTCTGCCCACACCACTCCCCTCTCATCTCGTCCCGCAGTGGGCTGTGGGTCCAAGATCTGCGATCCAACAACTGACTGTGTGAGGAACGCTGCAGGCAGTGCGACCTGTGTGTGCAAGGCAGGCTATCGGAACATCTCCGGCACTTGCCTCGGTACGTGTTGGTGCCGGCGACTTAAAAACCTTCTATGAAAAGCCTTTTTTTTTGTTCTTGTTTTTTTGTTTGTGTCTTCCAGTCAACCTATAAGTCACTCCAAGTTGGTGTGTGAATAGTGGGCTCATCTCATCCTAGCTGGCTGGAATACGACCAGTTCTGTTTTTACCTTACTGCAAGTGGGTGCCATAGCCACTGCATCCTGTGTGTGTTCCATCAGTGTAATGTGCCACTACACATCGACATAAGACCTGTTTTTTGAGAATATCAAACCAGCTCTTGCTGTGCACTGTGCTACACTTCGACATAAGATTCCTCCGACTTCTGTCACAACTCACAGCATTGGATCTCTGTGCTGCTCCCTGCTGCGTTGTGCTGCCCTCTGTGTTTCCATTTCTGTTTCCTCTGTGACTGATCATATTGTTTTGTGATGATCCATTGTATGTTATGTGGTGTCGTGCCATGCTCCTCCGTGCCGTGCCATGTATGATGTTCAGTGCTGTGCTATGCTGTGTTGTGCAGTGCTGGCTGAGCGCTGATGGTTTATTCTTCTCACTTCTTCACCTCCCCAGGCCCCACCACATGTGGAAACTGCCCTACTGGAGCCACGTGCACGGTTGCGTTGTTGTTCCCTGCTGTGCTGTGTTGTGCTGTGTCATTTTCTTTTCTTCTCATCTGCTCCCTCTTTCCCACCCCAGGCCCCGCCACATGTGGGAACTGCCCTACTGGAGCCACGTGCACTGTTGCTTTCGGCTACATTCCATACTGCATCTGCCCTCCCGGCTATGGCATGACCAGCACTGGCTGCATCAGTGGTAAGACCAATGCCCCTTGCGTTCTAAGTATGGCTAATGCTGCTTGCCGTCCAGGTATGAGCAATGTTTATTGCACAGTGTGCTGAACGCCCCTCTGTTATCTTTCCTTCAGCAACACATCACCCGTCTTTGCAATGCGCAAAAGGCAAGATAGAGCTCATTGGCTGTACTGGAACGCAATCATAGCTCATTGGCTACCAGCAGCGAGAACATCAATAGCTGGACTGGAAACTGAGTTGAAATGCCCCCGGCATGGTTTGTTCAGCTTCTCTACTTCTGCTTTTGGCACTGAACTCGTTTTCACTTCACTGCTGAGCATGTCTGCTGCGGTTGAACCTTCTGCAGCCCCATTCTAAGGAACGGTGAGAACCCACATATTCGAGTATTTTTCTAGTAGAGCAGTCCGAGCCGAGCCACTGACGAGCCCGGTAGTGGTCGAGTCGAGCCGCAATCTCACAGCCAGGCCAGCCGGGGCCGGGCCAGCCAGGCAAGTTGGGCTAGCCAATGACAAGCCGAGCTGGCTCGGGAGTACCCAGGCGAGCCAATGAGGATTCCAAATGTTCCCCGACTTATTTTGTGGAGTAGATCTGTCAAGCCAAAGGTAGCTCGTTGACGAGCCAGAGGTTCAACCAGAGCATTGGCCTCGTCATTTATTTGTGACGAGTCTATAATCCAGAGAAAGGCTCACTAAGTCTCGGCTCGATTCGACTCGACTTGTCCGAGCCAAAAATAGAGAATCGGGCTCTACTTGTGTGTTCAACTCGACCTGTGCGCATGCGTATTACGTACAAAATGAATCGGGTTGAAGAGGGAAAGGAGGACGATGTGATGGAAATATACCAGATCTTCAATGTTGGGTTGACATACTGGTTGGACTACAAGGGATCCCAAAATGAGGTCCCATTTGTGCTATTGTGCCCTCTTTCCCATCCCACCACCAACACCTTCTGTACCCCCAAATCTCCTGTACCTTCTGTACCCCCAAATCTCCTGTACCTTCTGTACCCCCAAATCTCCCTTCCCCTTCCCCAGCCTCCCCGCCCATCCCTCCCGCTCATTTTTTGCATGCCCCCTACCATGCCATGTGTAACTTCTCCCTCCAGCTGCCGTGCCCACCGTCTCCTTCACCAGCGTCACCGTATTTCTTCGCTTCCATACCATGCCATGCCGTTCTGTTTCCCTAGTGTTATCGTCCTCTCTCTCCCTTTTCCAACATTGCCATGCTGCTCTGCTCGCCCTTGCTTGCAGGTGCCGTCCCCACCGTCTCTGACAACAGCTTCACCTTCTACGACCAGAGCAACTACACCATCACGCCTAACACCTACACCATGCGCCTCGAATACAACGGCTGCACCACCATCCCTTCCTCAACTTCCTCAAAAATCCGGTCAATTTGGAATGTACAGAAGGTGTCCGGAGGGGTGGGGAACTGCATTTCTGTGAATTATTACACCCAGGAGGGGTGCGTTGGAACGTACATTTCGTTCCCTTCCTCTGGTGGAACAGGAATGAGTGGCTCCGGATACATGTGAGTCACCAATTGCCACCTGTTGCTATCTAAGACTGAAATGCACATGTGAAATGTAGATGCACGCAGAGAACATGCACACGCACATGTGAGATGCGCACACGCAAGCATGTCGCATGCAAGCATGTCACATGCACGCACGTTTACGATATGAGCACAACACAAGCGTCACCTACACCCATGTCTGTGACATTGGAATACATTCTGTATTCTACCATGAGCTTCTTGGCCCCATCCGTTCCTCCCCCCCCCCCTTCTCTCCCTTGCATTCTTGCTCCCTCCCCCCCCACCAAATCAATCCATCTATTTCGTTTCTCAGAGCTTTGCCTCAAGTTTTTTTGGTCTTACCTTCCCGTATGCTTACCCCTCCATCAACAGAAACTACCCTACATATCCGTACCGCTCCTTTACCTGTGTTCATTAAGCTCATCTTTACAGCTGCTACACAAGCAGCTGGAGCGGTGGGGAATGAATCTGCCATCTACATTTGGTCTCCAAGGCTTTATGCTGTTCTCATGTAAAATATGGTTATCCTTGTAGATTGAGCTTGGTTCAGGCCTTGGATTTGTTTAAGAATCCTGTGGACCAGATCTTTCTCAGTTTGTACCAAATTTGTATATTGTATTTTGTCATGGCAACGTGCTTTTTTCAGTTGGCAATTATATCAGCTTTGTCCATCGCTTTTTTAACATCATTCTCTGGATATACTGTCAGAATCAACAAGGAGGAATGTGTGTATTGAGTGCAAGGTGGGTACAAGTACTAACCCTAACTTTGGGTTGTACCCCATATGGGCTACCCCACTATAGCCTACACAGAACTAACACACATATATAGTTTGACACACCCCCATAGGCAGAGTGGGGGAGAACAAGAGGTCACAAGACCAGTCAAGAAAAGCAAAGCAAGCCCAGGGTGGATCACAACGTCACCACACACTCTGAGCACAAGCAAAGAGCCACAAGGCCAGTTCACATGCAGATTTCTGTATATATGCAATAACAACAGTACAGTGATCACTACCTAGCAGGAGTAGGCATGCAGGTATATAATATAGATCACAGTACAAGCAAAGTCAAGAGGTAAGCAAGTGAGCAAACACTGGCACCAGGCCTAAAGCTGTGCAAAAGCGCTGATGGTCACAAGGCGGAAGTGCCTTGGTGAACACATCAGCAGTGTTGGCCCTGGTGGCCACGTAAGAAACACGAAGCTGACCACGCTGCTGCAACTCTCGAGCAAGGAAGTAACGCAGAGCGATGTGCTTTGTTCTGTGCTCAAGTCTGTGCTCCTCACACAAGGTAAATAGCAGCATTGTTGTCTACGTACAGGATTGGAGGAGAACGAGGCCTCTCTCCCAAGTCGGTCAACAGGTAGGTGAGCCAGCGTAACTCCTGAGCAGCCATGGCTATGGCGTAGATCTCAGCCTCACAACTGGAGCTGAGAACAGAAGACGAGCGTGTAGACCGCCAAGAAACAGAGCCGGAGCCAAGGCTGAACGTGTACCCCTGCGACGACCGCTGCGTAGCCAGGTCGTCGACCCAAGAAGCGTCGGAGTGTCCAGTGAGGACAACGTCACCCCGTCCTCCAAGCACGAGCCCCATGCCCGATGTACTGCACAAGTAGCGTAACACCCTCTTAGCAGCCTCCCAGTGCTCTCGCCGGTGTCTCCCGGACGCAAAGTAGCGAGCCAGGATGCTAAGAGGGTACGCAAGGTCAGGTCGAGTGCAGGTCATCAGGTACATGAGGCAGCCCACAAGCTCTGGATACGGGCCACTCGGCTCTACGAACTCATCCGAAGGCAGAGCTGAGAGCGAGTGACCCGTAGCCATAGGAGTGGACTGTGGCGAGGACCAAGTGAAGCCGAAACGCTGAAGGACCTGCTGCACCATGTGTGACCGAGTCAGTATGATGGTACGGCGTGCTCTGTCCCGGATGATCTGCAAGCCAAGGTAACTACGCATTTCACCCAGGTCCGTGCACGTGTCTCGCTTCTGCAGCTCCGAATTCACAAGGGCGAGTGCCTCAGTGTCAGCAGTGGCAAAGACCAAGTCGTCAACGTACACGAGGATGTAGAACGGCGACAGCGAGGTGTCGGTGCGTAGAAATAGCGACGGGTCAGCAGTGGAAGGAGCAAACCCAAGAGCCGCCAGTGTCGTCCTCAGTGTGTCGTGCCACTCACGAAGCGCCTGACGGAGACCATAGACTGGCTGCCTGAGGCTCCACTGGGTACCAGGAGGAAACGACCCAGTGAAGCCAGGTGGGCGGCGCAGCCAGATCTCCTCGTGCAGACTGCCCTGTAAGAACGCTGTGCTGAAGTCAAAAGAGTGAAGCTCGTAGTCACGCTGAGCGGCAACGTGCAGCAGCACCCAAAGAGTGGTCATCTTCGGGGTAGGGGAGAAGGTCTGGAAGAAGTCAACTCCCTGTCGCTGACTGAAGCCTCGTGCAACGTAACGAGCCTTGAAGACAGGCGGAGAACCCGGCGGTCGCTTCACCCTGAAAATACATATGTCATCGACGATGTTCGCCCTAGGAGGGGGAACCTCGTCGACGTAAGTGCCTGTGGACTTCTAGGATGCCATCTCTGCGTCCATGGCTGCCTGCCACTGAAAGCATTACTAACCCGAAATTGCCTCTGCGTAAGAGCGCGTGGTCGGTATGTCCAGTGCATCCGGGTCTCCCTCAGGAGCAAGCAGCATGGCCACGAGATGAGGTGCAGCGGCTGCAAGACACTCAAAGTCCTCCTGTCTGTCCTCAAGGACGTCTGTGCCAAGAGCACACTCACCCCCGACGGACGGAGGACAGACAGACTCAGACTCAGCAACAAGACTAGCAGCGTAGTCGAGACGACAAGCAGCAGCAAAGTCAACAAGCTCAGCGACCAAAGCAGACGCAGCAGCGGACTCAAACGAAGGGTCAGTGACAACAGTGGCTAACAGACGCGTGACAGTAGGGTGAGCAGCACGAACTAGGTCAGACTCAGGGTCCGGCACAGTAGGAAGAGAGGACGAAGGAGGAGACAGCAAAGGAACGCGCTGTGGAGCAGAGGAAGGACGAAGTGCCATAGTGTGAGTACCTGGCACAAGAGGGGGACGCAGACGTGAAACTCGACGAGCACGGCGAACGGTGCGAACAGGGGAGGCAGGACGAGATGCAGGCTCACGACGCTCTGTAAGCGAGTCAGTGTGCTCAGTGTAAGGAGAAGGAGCAGGCAGTGGTGAGCCGGGCTGTAACGGGAGGCCAGTAGAAGACGGGAGGCTAAGAACCTGGCGAAGTACGGAGGTAGGTGGTATCAGAGACGACGGCGACGGTGGAGCGAAGAACAGTCGCGGCGGTGCAGTACCACCAGCACCAGTACCAGCAGCAGCTCCACCGTCCGACTCCTGCAACTCCAGAACCTCCAGCCCCAGCGCCTCCAACGTCAGCACCTCCAGCTCCAGCGTCACCAGCAGCAGCACCCCCAGAACCGGCACCTCCAGCCCCAGGGTCCACAGCACCAGCGCCAGGGCCTCCAGCTCCACTGCCTCCAGTAGCAGCACCCCCAGAACCGGCACCTCCAGCTCCGGGGTCTCCAACTCTAGAGCCGGCAGCACCAGCTCCAGAGTCTCCAGCTCCAGTGCCTCCAGGACGAGCACCTCCGAAACTAGCAGTGCCAGCACCACCAGCACCAGCAGCACCACCAGCTCCGGCAGCTCCAGTACCTCCAGGACGAGCACCTCCGGGACCAGCAGTGCCAGCACCACCAGAACCTCTAGCACCAGCAACACCACCAGCTCCGGCAGCTCCAGTACCTCCAGGACGAGCACCTCCGGGACTATCAGTACCAGCACCACCAGCACCTCCAGCTCTAGCAGCACCACCAGCTCCGGCAGCTCCAGTACCTCCAGGACGAGCACCTCCGGGACCAGCAGTGCCAGCACCACCAGCACCTCCAGCACCAGCAGCACCACCAGCTCCGGCAGCTCCAGTACCTCCAGGACGAGCACCTCCGGGACCAGCAGTGCCAGCTCCTCCGGTACCAGTAGCTCCACGGCCTCCAGCTCCAGCAGCTCCACGCGGAAGGCAGTAGCGCTGAGTGTACCACTCGCGCAGCTGCTGTGGTGAGAGAGGCTCCCATCGGCTAGACTGCTAGGGCGTGGCCCCGGGAGAACCGCCAGGACCAGTAGACGTAGCACCACCAGGCTCAGCACCCCCAGAAGCAGCACCCGTAGGCTCAGCACTCCTAGGCTCCTCCCGCTCTGGCGTAGCACCCCCAGGCTCAGCACCCCCAGGCACAACACCCCCAGGCCCCGCACGCTCAGGCTCCTCACTCGCAGGCTCAACACCCCCCGGCACAACACCCCCAGACGCAGCACCCCGAGCAGCACCACCCTCAGCGGCACCTGAGTCACCAGTGACCTCGACAGGCTCAGGCAAGGGAGGCGGGTCTACCTGAGACACACCTGAAGGAGCAGGACCCTGAGAGGGGGGGGGGGGAGTCAACCGGAGGGGAACCTGGAGCGAGGAAGAGGGGCGGCGGGGGGAGAGGGGCAGTGCGGTAGGGAAAGAGGCGGTAGAAGGGAACCGACTCGTCAAACGTGACGTCCTGAGAGGCAAACACCCGACGCGACGTGGGGTGGTAAAACTGCCAGCCAGGTGCGTCAGGGGGAAAACCAAGGAAGACGCAAGGAATGGCGCGAGAGGAGAGCTTGTCCGCGGTGGTATCGCGGACAAAGGCACGAGAACCCCAGACCCGGAAGCGCGATGCATCGCCAACCTCCCCCGTCCAACGTAGTGTGGGCGAGGTCTCCGGCAAGGAGACACGGGGCCAGAGGTTGAGCTGGTGCGCAGCGTATCGGACCGCAAACGGCCACAGAAAATGGGGAGCCGCCGCATGGATCATGGAGGTACAAGCGACCTCCATGACTAAGCCAATGCGGCACTCAGCAACCCCATTCTGCTGCGGAGAGGCCGGAAGCGTGAATGACTGGAGGATGCCCTCCCCCTGACAAAAGTCCCGCAAGAGGTCAGAGGAGAACTCACCACCTCTGTCAGAGTGCAGACGCAGGACGGGAAGGTCCGTGTCGAACCGCTCGCGGAGCTGGAGACGCACAGCGCGGATCCAAGGGATCAAAACAGCAGGAAATTTACCCTTGCTGCGCAAGAGGAAGACCGTGGTGTAACGCGAGTAGTCGTCGACAACCAGCAGAAAGTACCGCTCGCGGCCCTGTCCCTAGACGCGGGCTGGGCCCCACACGTCCAGGTGGAGAGTCTGCAGGGGAGCAGTCGTCGGGGGAAACGAGGAGGAGTGAGGAGCGGCGCGCTGCCGCCCCTCGACGCAAGGAATGCAGGGCGGGGCAGGCGAGGGCGGGAGGGAAGGCAGAGACCTGGGAAGACCAGAGACCAGGTAGCGAGAGTGCATGCCACGCAGGCGTGGCAAGGAGGGGTGACCAAGGCGGTGGTGCCAAAGGAGAGTCTGGTGCGATAGGTGACGACATTCGCTGGGGGGGCTACCAAACCTGACGCAGCCACCTGACCAGACGCAGCAACCTGGGGAGGCTCAGTAGTCAGTGTGTACAGACTCGACCCAAGCCGATGGATAAACGTGGCCAGGTGACGGCCCATCCGTGCACACGTGCAAATCGCCAGACGCTGGCCTCCAGGGATAAAGGTATTAACCCACTCATCCTGAAGAGCTGCGTTACTCACCAAGTTCGTCGAGAACGAGGGGAGGTGGAGACCTGACAGCGAGCCGGACGGAACCGCCGGACACGGGAGCACGGTGGAGGAACGTGCAAGAACCGGACCCCCAGAGGGGTCAGCCAGGGAGACTGCAACCGGTCTAGGGAGCAGTGTGAGTGCGGTACTGTCGCAAAAGAAACAGCGGGAAGCACCTGAGTCAAGCGTGAAGGTGTGCAAGGGCTCAGCAGACGCAGTACCAGAGAGAGCAGACTCACTAGCACCGAGAGCAGACGCACTAGTACCTAGAGTAGCAGCCTCTATGCCAGGGTCGGGCGGCACACAGAGATAACAATGACCCTCAGTACCCACAGTCAGAGTATACATGGCAGTAAGTATAGCGTCCAAGTCGAGAGCAAAGACGTCCACCCTGTGGCGAAGCAGCTCCAGCCAGCTGGGGGGCTCAGCCTCGTCGCCAAACACCTCTCTCCAGGCGTCACTCAAATAGGCGAAGCAGCGGGGCTGTGAATGGCCAGGTGTCCCGCAGGACTGCCGGGCCCGAGCACCTGTGCGAATGACGTACGGGCAGCGACCAGTACTCGGAGACTTCCCACGCTGGAAATACCACTCACGAAGCTGCTGGGGCGGAAGGGTGACGCGCGGACCTCGCTGAAGCTGCAGCTGGCCACCACCAGAACCTCCCCACCGAACAGCTCCACCTCGACTGCCGCTGCGGCCGCCTCCACCACTCCCACCGCTGCCCCCACCGCCGACACGACTCCCACCACTACCACTACGAGAAGCCATAATGGGCAGAGGAAGGAGGTAGGGCAGGGCAAGGCAGGAACGGAGACGCACGGGCTGCAGAGGGCGTCGTGTAGGTGGGCAGGAGGTGAGCGCGCGGGCTAGGAGAGCGGCGCGCTGGCTGGCAGAGCGGTGCACAGGATTCGGGATGGCGTTCTGCAGGGCAGGGCGGGCGTAGGGCAAGGCAGGGCCGGGTGAGCGGGCTAGCAGAGCGCTGTGCGGGCGGACAGGGCGGCGCGCAGGCCGGCAGGGGCGGCGCACTGGCTCTGGGGCGGCGCACGGCAAGGGCAGGGGCCGCGCGCAGGCTCTGGGGCGGCGCGACGGGCAGGCAGGGCGTCGCGCGGGTCCTAGGGCGACGCGACGGGCAGGGCAGGGCGTCGCGCGGGTCCTAGGGCGACGCGACGGGCAGGGCAGGGCGTCGCGCGGGTCCTAGGGCGACGCGACGGGCAGGGCAGGGCGTCGCGCGGGTCCTAGGGCGACGCGACGGGCAGGGCAGGGTGTCGCACGGGTCCTAGGGCGACGCGACGAGCAGGGCAGGGCGCCGCGCAGGTCCTAGGGCGACGCGACGGGCAGGGCAGGGCGTCGCGCGGGTCCTAGGGCGACGCGACGGGCAGGGCAGGGCGTCACGCAGGTCCTAGGGCGACGCGTCGGTCAGGGCAGGGCGTGCGCGGTCAGGGCAGGGCGTGCGCGGGGCAGCGCAACGCGGGGCAGGGCAGGGCGTGCGCGGGGCGGCGCGACGCAGGGCAGGGCGTGCGCGGGGCAGCGCAAATCAGGGAAGGGCAGGGCGTGCGCGGGGCGGCGCAACGTAGGGCAAGGCAAGGCATGTGCTGGCAGCGCGATGCAGGGCAAGGCATGGGGTAGCGCAGTAACCGCAGTCGGTCACTTGCTAATGGTGGGCCCGGAAAAAAAAACAGTCCTACGGACCTACTGCTCTGAAACCATGCCAAAATCAACGAGCAGGAATGTGTGTATTGAATGAAAGGTGGGTACAAGTACTAACCCTAACTTTGGGTTGTACCCCATATGGGCTACCCCACTATAGCCTACACAGAACTAACACACATATATAGTTTGACATATACGCCCGTAGGAGAGTCGACGGATTAGAGTTAACAATGAGGTGTCAAGAACTGAATGATGATTAGGTTGGTTGGGGTACATAAACCTAACCCTAACTGTTGTACCCCATATGACACACATCACTAAAGGCTACAACATTTGACACACCCCCCAAAGCAAAACCAAAACCGTACAGTCACTAGACCAGTCACAAAGAAACAAAGCTCAGGGTGGATCACAACGTCACCACACAGTCTGAGCACAAGCAAAAAAAACCACAAGGTCAGTCAAGAGTTCACAGAGGTATATGTAAAACGTACAAACAAAGCAAGCAGAGAACTCAAGACTACGTAAGACGAGAACCTGTATCAACGAGAACTAACTGCACACAATACCTCTGGTGGTCACAAGGCGGAAGGGCCTTGGTGAAGATGTCTGCAGTGTTGGCCTCGGACTCCACAAAGTCGAAGCGAGCCTGTCCACGCCTCTGCAACTCTTGCAGAAGAAAGTACCTGACGTTGATGTGCTTCACTCTGCTCTCCAGTCGCGGCTCTTGTTAAAAGGACTAGGATTGAATGATGAACTAAGGCAAGAATGTGATACAAGTATGAAACCCTAAAGGGGCTAATTGTACCCCTTAATGGCTACCCCACTGTAGCCTACAAAACACAAACAACAAATATAGTTCAACAAACCCCCATAGGCAAACTGGGGGAGATCAAGCGGTCTCAAGACCAGTCAAGAAATGCAAAACAAGCTCAGGGTGGATCACAACGTCACCACACACTTTGAGCACAAGCAAAGAAAGGCCACATGGCCAGTTCACATGCACTGTTATATAAGAGAGATCAAGTAGAACAGTGATCACTACCTAGCAAGTGTAGGCATGCAGGTATATATATAAGGATCACAGTACAAGCAAGGTCATGCACTAAGCAAGTGTGAGAACATAGGCACGAGACCTAGAGCAGTGCAGTGACGCTGATGATCACTAGGCGGAAGTGCCTTGGTGAATATATCAGCTGTGGGAGAGAAGACGGCGACAGTGGAGTGAAGAACAGACGCCGCTGCGCAGCACCCCAAGCACCAGTACCCCCAGCTCCTCCAGTCACAGAGTCTCCAGCACCAGCACCTCCAGCGCCAGCTCCTCCAGCGCCAGCTCCTCCGGTACCAGGACCTCCAGTCCAAGTGGCTCCAGCTTCCAGCATCTCTAGCGTCAACACCGACGGCTCCAATAGCCCCAGGACAAGCACCACCAGCCCCGGCAGCTCTAGTACCTCCAGTACGAGCACCTCCGGGACCAACAGCACCTGGAACTCCTCCAGCACCAGCAGCGTCAGAAGGTCTAGCAGTCCCAGCACCTCCAGCACCAGTAGCGCCACCACCAGCAGCGCCTGTAGCTCCAGCAACTCCAGTGGCCAGGTCCCCGGAACCAGCAGCGCCACGCGAACGGCAGTAGCGTCGAGTGTACCACTCACGCAGCTGCTGCAAGGAGAGAGTCTCCTGACTGGCCCCAGACCCAGCACCCCCAGTGTCAGCACCTCCACGCTCCACGCGCTCAGGCCCAGCACCCCTAGACTCAGCACCTCCAGGCTCCACACTCGCAGGCTCAGTACCCCCAGGCTCAGGCGCACTCGCAGGCTCAGCACCCTCAGGCTCCACCCTCGCAGGCTCAGCACTCCCAGGCTCCATGCACTCAGGTATAGGACCACCAGGCTCAGCACCCCCAGGCTCCACACTAGTAGGCTCAGCACCCTCCGGCTCAGCACCCCCAGGCTACGCACTCGCAGGCTCAGCACCCCTAGGCTCAGGACCTCCAGCTGGACCTCCACCAGCAGCACCAGAGTCACCAGTGACCTCGACAGGCTCAACCAGGGGAGGGGGGTCTACCTGAGAGGGGGGGGGAGAGAGGTAGTGCGGTAGGGGAAGAGACGGTAAAAAGGAACCGACTCGTCAAACGTGACGTCCTGAGAGGACAGAACACGGCGCGAGGTGGGGTGGTAAAACTGCCAGCCAGGCGCGTCAGTAGGAAAGTCAAGGAAGACGCAGGGAACGGCGCGGGCGCAGAGCTTGTCCACGGCGGTATTGCGGACAAAGGCACGAGAGCCCCAGACCCGGACCTCTCCCGTCCAGCGCAGTGTGGGTGAGGTCTCCGGCAAGGAGACACGGGGCCTGGGGTTGAGCTGATGCGCAGCGTACCGGACCGCAAACGGCCACAGAAAATGGGGAGCAGCCGCATGGATCATGGAGGTACGAGCGATCTCCATGACCAGGCCAATGCGGCGCTCAGCAACCCCATTCTGCTGCGGAGAGGCCGGAAGCGTGAACGACTGGAGGATGCCCTCCCCCTGACAAAAGTCCCGCAAGAGGTCGGAGGAGAAC